GCCGCGTTTCCGCGATCAGAAACCGACCATATCGGAAATTATTTTTTGGATTAAATGTCCGGCCCCCCCCAGATCCCTCAGACGGAGCAGTCCAGCGAAGACGTCTGGGGGAGGGAGGCAACCGCATGTTGTATCGCGCAGCCTGCACCGCACAGCCTACACCACGCATCTTGCACCGCACAGCTTGCACCACATTGACTCTCCTTTCTGGAGCGAGAATAGGCTCTGCCCCCCGGATTGTCTGCACACCTTTTCGTATTGCAATGTACATCTGATTCTGCCCCGTCGTCCATCCTAGATATGAACTCGTACCATCTCAGCTGGGCCGGTGTCGCCCGCCCCGGCCATCTTCTGAACAGAAATACACTGCGCGCACTGGTTTATCAAAGAATCATCAGTTTGCAAAAAACCCTTGCAACAGATATGACGAAGCGCACATGCGCGCGTCGTCGCGCGCGCATGCCGAAATCCTTCAACAACCTCCGCTTCCGCAAGCATGTCAAAATCGAGTGTCCCCAAACATGTAATTTCACAGGGATTCGCAAAACGGATTTTCACAAGACGCTTGCGCCCGCGCCCTTGCGAACTCTCAACACAACCATATGTTTTGTTGTTGTTGTTGTTGTTGTTGTTGTTGTTTTTGTTGTTGATGTTGTTGTTGTTGTTGCTGTTGTTGTTGGTTGTTGTTGTTGTTGAACATTATTTATTCTAAAGAATAATTATTGTTGGGCCCCCTGGTGCACGCCCCCCCTGCGCCGCCTAGGCCGCAGCTACATTTTCATCATTTTCGTGAGGAAGCTTCAGGTAAAAGGATGTGATCCAGATCCGGTTGTTTTGTTGTAATCCGTTTTCCCTTGCAAAAAACACTATAAAATGACATTTCTTGTTCTAATATAATCAAATTTCAAGAATCCCTTGCAAAAAATAAGGTAAAGTGGACATTCGCGCGCGCAAGACGAAATCCTTCCAAAACCTTAGTGTTCGCAGCGATTTTAACATAAAAACATCAAAAAACCAATGGTTTTTCAACAAAAAATTGTCAAAATCTCATCCCGCGCGCTCTTGCGGATTCGTAGGAAACCCAACACTTTTTAAACATTTCTGTCAAACGGGCTTTTGCGAGCAACTTTTTCGAACTTCTGCGACAACGGTTGCGCACCTGCCAGGGCCATCATCCCTGTCAAATAATACCATGCGGGACACATTCGTTTTTTCTTCGCGCGCGCACGCCGAAATCTCCAAAAACCATTGGGCTTCTTAAGAATTTTAGCACCGCGCATCATAAAATCACACGAATCGCACCGTAGGTCCTCGAAAAACACCTGCACGACTTTTCAAAATTTCTACCCGCGCGCGCTGTAATCAATGTGTATCATGTGTATCATGTACCATATGCATCATATGCAACAGATGTTCTGTGAAGGCTTAAACAACTTCTGTGGGTTAACAAGGCTTACAACTTCTGTGGGTGTACGAACGTAGGCTTAACAACTTCTGTGGGTGTGTACTCCACGCCAGTGTAGTAGCCACGGTCGTCCGCAGGCCACGAAGTGAAGTGTCCGAACGTCATAGGGCGGGAAGCTGGGTGTGGGTGGTGGCGAAGAGTCGTGTGGATATTTGGTAGAGCTTGCACTGCCCCCCACAAAGTGGGGGTATTGGCTGGCGTCGCATGAAAACCCTGGCACTGGTGAGAACACTGAGCGTTCGGGTAAAGTGAGTTGTTGTTGTTGTTGTTGTTGTTGTTGTTGTTGTTGTTGTTGTTGAACATTATTTATTCTAAAGAATAATTATTGTTGGGCCCCCTGGTGCGCGCCCCCCCGCCGCGCCTAGGCCGCAGCCACATTTTCATCATTTTCGTGAGGAAGCCTCAGGTAAAACGATGTGATCCAGATCCGGTTGTTTTGTTGTAATCCGTTTTCCCTTGCAAAAAACACTATAAAATGACATTTCTTGTTCTAATATAATCAAATTTCAAGAATCCCTTGCAAAAAATAAGGTAAAGTGGACATTCGCGCGCGCAAGACGAAATCCTTCCAAAACCTTAGTGTTCGCAGCGATTTTAACATAAAAACATCAAAAAACCAATGGTTTTTCAACAAAAAAATGTCAAAATCTCATCCCGCGCGCTCTTGCGGATTCGTAGGAAACCCAACACTTTTTAAACATTTCTGTCAAACGGGCTTTTGCGAGCAACTTTTTCGAACTTCTGCGACAACGGTTGCGCACCTGCCAGGGCCATCATCCCTGTCAAATAATACCATGCGGGACACATTCGTTTTTTCTTCGCGCGCGCACGCCGAAATCTCCAAAAACCATTGGGTTCTGTGGGTGTGTACCCCACGCCAGTGTAGTAGCCACGGTCGTCCGCACGCCACGAAGTGAAGTGTCCCAACGTCATAGGGCGGGAAGCTGGGTTTGGGTGGTCGCGAAGAGTCGTTTGGATATTTGGTAGAGCTTGTAATGCCCCCCCACGAAGTGGGGGTATTGCCTGGTGTCGTATGAAAACCCTGGCACTGGGGAGAACACCACGCGTTCGGGTAAAATGATTGTTGTTGTTGTTGTTGTTGTTGTTGTTGTTTTTTATTTCTTCGTTCTTTGTCATTAGATGCCATCAAACGGGCTTTGCGCCCGCATGTCGAATCGCTCGAACGCCCTTGCGCGCGTGCCGTCGCGAGAATCCTTTGCAACCAGTGGGACGAAGTGCGCGCGCGCGTCGTCGCGCGCGCATGCCGAAATCAGTCAACATTTTTGGTTTCGTAAGGATGACAACTCGATTGCCCAAAACATTAAAACAAGCGTGGATTTGCAACATCAGTTTTCCAGAATCGTGCGTTCGCGCTCGTGCGAATTCTTCAGACAACCATATGTTGTTCAACATGTTCATGGAATTCTGCCAAACGGGCAGGGTCTCTGGCGCCGCATGCCGAACTCATTCGCACGCCCTTGCGGGCGTGCTGGGGGGGCACGATCCGTCTCAAATAATGCCTTGCGGGCCACTCGCGCGTCAGCCGCGCGCGCATGTCGAATTTGTTCCAAAACCTTCATCACCGACGCGAGGACGCCGTCATCGTCGCCGGCGTGATCAGCATTGGCGCCCGCACTGGCCGCACCGTCGTCGTTTTCAACGTCGTTACCAGCACTGCTACTATCATCGTCGTGTCTACCATTGTCGACGTTGCTACTATACTGCGCCCGCCCAAGTCGCCGACTCGCACTGAAATGCCCGCTGGGATGATCCCAGCGGTCAGCGCCACCGCGGCCGCGTCGGTCGCGCCAAACCAGCTGGCCGCTGCGCGCGCGTGCTTGCGTTGGCGCGGCCGCAGCGATGCACCAGCCAACGCGAAGCATTCATCGCGATCGCAACCGCATGGGTTTTGCAGACCAAGTCGCGGGTAGGTGGGTGGGATGTTTGCTAGAGTGTGGACTGTGTCAGCTCGTGTGTAAAAATCAATCGCGCCACATAGCTTGCACCACGTGTATTGCACCAGGTAGCTCGCACCACATAGCTGGCACCCCATAGCCCACAGGCCCACAATGCAATAACTCTGTCAGGGGACCCCGACGGCAATCATGTGATCCGCTCGCGGTACGGTTCCCGAGTATTGAAATATCATCCCTCGTCTTCCGTCTCCTCCTCCTCCTCCATCCTACATCCTTCCCTCTCTCCACCCCCCCATCCCCTGCAGCTCCTCCTCCTCCTCCTCCTCGTCCTCCTCCTCTTCCTCCTCCTCCTCTTCCCCCTCTTCCTCCTCCTCTTCCTCCTCCTCCTCCTCATCCCCCTCTTCCTTCTCCTCCTCCTCCTCCTCCTCCTCCTCCTCCTGCTCCTCCTTCGTCGATGGCACTTGCGTTGCGACCCTGACCAGAGACTTCGCTGCTCCTCCTCGGCTGGCCCCCCCCCGGTTCTCGGCGGTCGGCCCGCCCGTGACCCGCCCGCGAAAGGGTCTGCCTCGACGCAGGGCCCGGTGCACGCAGGAGGAGGAGGAGGAGATGGAGGAGGAGGAGGAGGAGGAGGAGGAGGAGGAGGAGGAGGAGGAGAGGGGAGGAGGAGGAGGAGGAGGAGGAGGAGGAGGAAGGAGGAGGAGGAGGAAAAGGAGAGAGGAGAGGGAGAAGGGGAGGGGGAGGGGAGGAGGAGAGAGGAGAGGGGGAGGGGGAGGAGAAGGAGGAGGAGGTGGAGGAGGAGGGTGGAGGAGGAGGAGGAGGAGGAGGAGGAGGAGGACGAGGAGGAGGAGGAGGAGGAGGAGGAGGAGGAGGGTGGAGGAGGAGGAGGACGAGGAGGAGGAGGAGGATCAGAAGGAGGACATGGAAGAGGAAGCAAACTAGGTGTGTTCGCGCTTCACCTGACACTCTTTCCCTCCCCCCCATCCGTTCCATACAGCGCTGTTTTTTCTCTACCCGAGGGCGCGTGTCATGGCCGACCCGCAACTCCCACAGAACGACCGCATCGTGTCATGTGCAATCGGAAAGACGAGGCACTGCGTGCACAGGAGGAGGAGTTGGCGGGCGAGCAGGAGGATTAGAGGGAGGACGAAGACGAGCGAGCAGGAGGATGAGAGGGAGGACGAAGACGAACAGCAGCAACAGGAGCTGGAGTGGAAGTTGCGGGGGGAGGGCCAGGGGAAGGCGGATGATTGAAACTTAGGGGGGCCACGACGAGGAAGAGAGGCCAGGATCAGGGGAAGATGGCCTGCGCTGGGGCGAGAGCGCCCTTCTGAACGACGAGAGGGCAGGGCGCCGCTCCGTAAACGAGACCCACGCTATAGCGGGCTATCAGTCTCCCGCCGCGCTTTGACATTCCGTCGGGCATGTCCCTTTTGCAGGAGGATTGTTCAAAAATATTGAAAGCATAGTCTGGGGACGATCTTCGAATATTTGTGATTCTTTTTTGGAGTTGTTTGGCAGTTGGGTTTTTTTCTTCGAAAGCTCGCATGTAGGATAACATGCCCGAGCTAACTCTGGCATCGAGCGCGGCGCTGCCTCCTGCGGCCCGCCCGCCGCGCCAGGTGGGACCCCGCTACGAGCTCGTCCGGAAGCTGGGCAGCGGGTCCTACGGCTGCGTCTGCGAGGCGCGCGACAGGGAGCGCGGGCGCCGCGTCGCCATCAAGAGGACGCGGGACGTGTTCGGGGACCTCGTCACGTGCAGGCGCACGGCCCGCGAGGTGTGCATCCTGGCCATGCTGCAGAGGCCTGGCGGCGGGCGCCCCCGCCCGCAGAAACACTGGGCCTGGCAGGGCGCTCTCGAGGGCCGCGCGTGCGCCCGAAAGCGACTGCGACCAAGCGCCACCTCGACTAGGTGCGGGTACGTGTCCAGGGGCACCATCAACGCGCGTCGGCGACTGTGCCCCCCGTACCTAGTTGGGGTGACGCCAGGCGGGTTTTCAGGGAGCAGCCCCTGGCGACCGCGCCTGGCGTTCGGAGCCCCAGGCGTTTGGGGCGAGCGCGGGATTGCAGCGGCGCCCGCCCAGGACACCCATGGCGCATTTTGCGCGTCGAGCCCCAAACGCTTGATTGCGCGTTCGTGGGCGCACCTCCGAACGAGCTACTCTAGCCCGAGAGCGACCAATGCGCATTCGGCCACTCTGCCGATTGGAACGCGGGCGTATTCGGTGCCAGCGGATGCCCGGAGAAGACAGCGTCCTGTAATGCCCCATGGGCCGTCGCATCTGCACTTGTGCAACCGCTGTCGGCTGCAGCGCGTCGCTCCCTCCGCCCCTTGCCACCACGTCTGGGTAAGGGTACGGGTATCTTTCGCGCTCGAGATCAGGGGGTCGACGTCATGAAATCGTCCTGGCGAAGGAGCCAACCATATGAAATTGTGTGGGTACAGCAGTTGTGGGCCCCGCTTTCTGTGGATCTCCCTGTGGGGCCACGAAACGTGTGAGGGGCGTGCCGACATGGGCGCGGTGGCGCCATGCGAACCCTGCAACGGGGGCTTTCGGTGGAGTTCCCTATGGGGCCGCGAAGCGTGTGAGGAGTGTGCCGAAATGGGTGCGGTGGCGAAACGTGAGCCCTGCCACGGGAGCCTTCGGTGGAGCTCCCCGTGGGGCTACGAAACGTGTAAGGGGCGTACCGACATGTGTGAGGTGGCGCCATGCGAGCCCTGCCACTGGGGCCTTCGGTGGGGCTCCCTATGGGACCACGAACTGTGTGAGGGGTGTGCCGAAATGGGCGCCGTGACGCAATGCGAACCCTGCCACGGGGGCCTTCGGTGCAGCTCCCTATGGATGCCACGAACCGTGTGAGGGGTGTGCCGAAATTGATGCGGTGGCGCCATGCGAGCCCTGCTTGTCGAGCCTTCGGTGGGGCTCCCTGTGCGGCCACGGAGCGTGCAAGGGGTGTGCCGAAATGGGTGGGGTTGCGCCATGCGAACCCTGCCGCTGGGACGCGATGATGATGATGATGATGATGATGATGATGATGAGGATGATGATGATGATGATGATGATGCTGATGATGATGATGATGATGATGATGATGATGATGATGATGATGATGATGATGATGATGATGCTGATGATGCTGATGATGATGATTGATGATGATGATGATGATGATGATGATGATGATGATGATGATGATGATGATGATGATGATGATGATGATGATGATGATGCTGATGCTGATGATGATGATGAGGATGAGGATGAGGATGAGGATGAGGATGAGGATGATGGATGAGGATGAGGAGGATGAGATGAGGATGAGGATGAGGATGAGGATGAGGATGAGGATGAGGATGAGGATGAGGATGAGGATGAGGATGAGGATGAGGATGAGGATGAGGATGATGATGAGGATGAGGATGAGGATGATGACGACGATGATGATGATGAAGATGATGATGATGATGATGATGATGATGATGATGATGATGATGATGATGATGATGATGATGATGATGATGATGCTGCGGGTGATGGTAATGATGATAATGATGCAGAGGATGATGGGATGATGGTGAGAGGGGGAGGGCAGGGGCAGCGGGAGTGAGGACGCGGGGCGTTGTCTTTTCAAACCGAGGACCCAACAACACAGGATGGTTGGGGGAAAATATGACGTCGGGGGTCTGGGTACCGATGCGGCAGTGTTTGTGGTGGCTGGTTGTGGTGCCGATGAGCAGTGTACCGATGCAACGTACCGATGCGGCAGTGTCTCTGTGTTGTGTGCGTGTGTGTGCGGGCATGTGCGTGTCACCTCTCTGGCATCCACGCCCAGATGCGCTGTATAGCGCACCTCCTCAGCTCATGCCGCCGTGTCGGGCAGGCCCCTCCGCTTTCGTGTCACCTCCCGCCCGGATTTGCTGTATGGCGTCATGTGCGTTGGAATCCAAAGCGATTTTTGAGGCCTGGCCTCGTCCGCGCATAGCGTTTTTACTGACTCCGCCTCGTCGCTGCGCGCGAGGCTGCTACCGCCAAAAAGTGTATGTGTATGTGTATGTGTGTATGTGCTTGGGTGGGTTGTGGGTGATATCCCATATCGAGTGCCCCCGCTCGTGCCGGAGCACAGTCAGGAGTCTGGAAAATTTGGTGCGGAAAGACATCCTGTACACCGACAGTCAACCAATATTCCAAGTGTGGTCGTGTGTGTGTGTGTTTGTGTTGGGTGGGTGGCTTGCTCGGTTAGATGGTTAAGGGCATAATCGAGGATCACAAGTACTTAGCGGACTCACGAGGAAGCATGGGAGATGAGAGTAGCGAGAGGATGGCAGATCGGGTGGGGTCGACTACACTGAGCGCCTACCCGTGCAGAGGCACGAGAACATCGTGCAGTTGTTCGACGTCGTCGCCCCCATCGGCGAGGACGGTCTGTTCGACGAGGTCTGCTTGGTCATGGAAGTCTGCGACTCCGATCTCGGGCGAGCCTGGGGCGGCCGGCTTGCTCACTCCCTCAAGTGTCTTTCGCCTTACAGGCAGTTTGCAGTGCCTGCAAGGCTTCTGCGGCCCAGCCGACACGCTTACATTGCAGTTTGACACACACACACACCGCCCGTCGGGCGCTGTTGTCGTTGGCAGTGCTGCCAACAGTGCTGGGAGCGAGGCGCTGTTTTGCACTCCTCCACGCTCAAGACTCTGCCTCTTGGCTCCACTTTGCGCGAGGGTCTGTGGAGGTCCCCTTGCCGCCTCCAGCCTCCCACCCTCCCTCAGCCTCTCCGCACTTTCTGGCCCCCCCACCTTCCACCCGCCTCCCACTCCCTCCTCTCCTCATCCCTCCGCTCTCCTCCTCCCTTCACCCTCCTCTCCCCTTCCATCCCCATCCCCCATCCCTCCCTCCTCCATCCTTTTTTCTGCTCCTTCCTCCTTCCCTCCGGTCCCTGTCTGTGCTTGGAGGGGAGAGGGGTGGTGAAAAGGAGGAGGAGGAGGAGGTGGAGGAGGAGGAGGAGGAAGAGGAGGAGGAGGAGGAGGAGGAGGAAGAGGAGGAGGAGGAGGAGGAGGAGGAACAGGAGGAGGGGGAGGGGGAGGGGGAGGGGGAGGGGGCAAGCTAGGTGCGCTCGCGTCATATCTGACATCCTACCCCTCCCTCCCATCCCTTACCATGACGCAGATCCCCTCTCTACTCGCAGAGTCGGATGTCGAGCAGGGCAATGATCCCGAAAGGGTACGCGATGCATTTTAGGGCACGGCATGGCATGGCGTAGAAGAGCACCACAAAGCGTAGTATCAACCTAGCATAGCATTGCATGCCGTGGCATGGCACGGGAAATGACGCCAGCGTTGCAGCGGGAGCACGAGTCGAAACGAGCGGAAGCGCGGAAATGAGGCCAGCGCTGCGGCGGGAGCACGATTCGGAACGAGCGGAAGCACGGAAATGAGGCCAGCGCTGCAGCGGGAGCACGATTCGGAACGAGCGGGGCCCGAAAATGAGGCCGGCGCCTCAGCGAGAGCAGCATTTTGAAAACAATGCAGGCGAAAACCCAACTCCGGGGAAACCTGTGTGTAAAAAAGCAGTACGGGGGGGGGGGGGGGTCGGACACTTTCAAACCGTCATCAGGGGAAGAGGGAGAGTGGTATTCATATGGAGTAATTGTAGAGGGAGTGAGGAGAAGGGGGGGGGAGAAGGAAAGCAGGAGGAGGAAGAGGAGGAGGCCGAGTCTCCTTTCCTTCCCTCCCCCCTTCTCTCCCTCCGACGGCGGTGCCCCCGCTCCCCAGCAGCGGCGCTCCCCCGGGCAGACCGAGGGTGCGTTGCAGAGGCGCCCAGCCAGACCCCGCCCCCTTCCGGAGGCTGCTGCTCCGGAAGGACGTCGAGCTCTCACCGCACCAGGCCAACGGGAGGCCGAAGATCCGTGCCAGTGCCCCCCCCCCACCCTTCTCCCTTCTCGTTCTTCTTCCTTCTCGTTCTTCCTCCTCCCCCGTCTCGTTCTTCTTCCTCCCCCTCCCGCCCTTCTCCCTTCTCGTTCTTCTTCCTCCCCCGTCTCTCTAGGCCTCCTAGATGGGGTCCGAGTAAAAAATGGGGTCGGCCGCATCGCCGATGCACGGGCGATGCGGCTCGATGTGGATCCCGTGTTTCTCCACGCCGACGTCGCCGATGCATCGCCGACGTCGCCGATACATCGGCGATGAATTGGCGATGCGGCGCGATCCTCCGACCCCGTCTACTTGGACCTCATCCGGGAGGCCTCTCGTCTCTCCCGCCTCCTTCTTCCGTCCTCCACCTCGTCCAACTCCCCCTCCCAATCATCCTTCCCATCCTCCTCCTCCTCATCCCCTCATATCTTCTACTCCTCTTCCTCCTCCTCCTCCTCCTCCTTGTATCCCTCCGTCCCCCTTCCTCCTTCTTCCTGCGTTCCCCCCCCCCCCCTCGCCCCTCCTTCCTCCCCCGCCCTCCCCCACCCCCCCTGCCTCCCCTCCCTTCCTCCCCCTTCCCTCCTTTCGTTTATCCTTCATCGTCAGGCCCTCCACCTTCTCCATCCGTCTGCCTGTCCTCCGACCCGAGCGGTAGGTCTCCCGTTGATCTTTGTTCTATGCCTGCCCTGCTCCTTTTACTTGACTCCCTCTTCCGCTGCCACTTGGAACTCAAGTCTTGAGTCCTTACGTGCCCGTTTCATTCACGTATTAACCTCCTACATCCGGGTAAGAAAAAAGGTTCCCATACCTTACCTTCTGTTTCTCATAGTTGGTAGCGGAGCTCCGGCTCTCTTCCACTACCTACATTATTCCCGCCGCCATGGCCCGCGCGGCTCCTCCGCGAGTCTCTTGCTCGCCTATCTCTACTCCATCTTGGACTTCGTGTTCGGCAGAGTCTATCCTCTGGATCACCATGCCATCTGTATAAATGACCTTCACGTGCGTAAGACGTACAGCCGGGACAACTACCTGAACAAACACGACGGATGACATGATCTACAAGGAGCGCGGCGCTCACCCGCCGCCCGCCGCCGCCGCTGCATGCCTCTCTCCCGGGGCGTATTCCAAATGAGTTGGAGTCTCTTTCGGGGCCCATCGGACCCCGCGTTGAAATTAACAACCAGTTCCTATCAACAGCGTCGGCCCGTGGCTCCGAGCGCCCCGCAATTGTGCTGCGAGCGCATTGGGGGCGAGGGGCGGATAAGAGCGAAAATAACAGTGACAATTCGGTGGGGTGTTGGACAACTGTGTTTTCATAACTCCAAGGAACAGTGCAGCAGGCTTGGGATTACCTGTCTACGTTCTCTTGAACAGCCCAGCGCGCCCGTCGATTCTCTGCGAGGTGGCAGGGCGCGTTCCCGATGCGCACTCCTCTGGACGATCGTGAAGTTGGCGGCCTTCAGTGCAATGACGACAAGACGCGCGAGGGGCACGAGCGCGATTCTGTTGCGAAGTGTCCAGATGCGAAGGTAACCGTAAGTATGTGATATAAGGTTATACCCAATACGATGACGATGCGGAACGCTTCGAGGCAGGGTTGCACGACGGTTCCGTGGCTCCTGGTCAGAGCAAGGCCGTCGCTGGACCCTTGGCTTCCAGCGCCTTCTTGATTTGTGGAGGGACGTCCACTCCATATGGAAGGCCATCGGAAAGGGCACGCTCGCCATAGCAAGATGCTTCACCTGCGTGGACGCATGAGGCGGCAATGGCTGCGCGCGTCACCTCCGCGCCCGGGGGCTGGAGCAGAAAGCGCGGGCTCCTTTCCAACGCTGGATGCGGGAGGTGATGATGCGGTCAGTGACGAAATCCTGACTTCGACGAGTTTCGCCAGGCGGCTTACGTCTCGTCACGACTTCACCGGCGTGGCCCGACAGGGCGTGGACGCACGGCCGCCAGCTGCCCTCGCCCAGGGAGGTACCTCTAACGGCAACCCAGTGCCACTGACGACCTTCCTGATGCGCATTGTACCCGAACGTTGGGGCCGATTGGGCGAGAAGGTCGGCAGTTTCGGCATTCTGAACTTCAACCGTTTGCCGCTGGAGCGCGTCGATAACCTCCTCAAGCGTTTCGACCTCCTCCGCAACCTGGCTCAGCAAGCTGGTCAACCCATGATCGGCGACGAGGGTCTCAGTTTCAGCTTCCTCCCTTGCGGGCGACGGGAGTGTCAAGCGTGCAACTGACTATGATCTTGCAGCACGTCAACATGGCTTACCCGACCAACGCAGCACAACTCGCACATGTGACGAGGCTTTGGGCACATGGTCGGGGGGTCGCTTGGGAATCTCGCTTCAGCGGTGCTGTCAGCCCAACAGCAAACATTCCTCACGGGTGCGCCCGCGCAAGACCGGGCTCAGAGTGCCTATGGCACTACGGGTCGGGTCTAGTTGGGGCGGCCTGGGTCCATCACCCATTGCATTTTACTCTGTGTCTCGCGGATCGGGTTTTTGGGCGGGGCGTGCGAATGATCGTTTTCTTTGTGCCTGCCCTTTGCTGTGCCGCCGCCCCAGTCGGGTCGCAGGCGCTGGCTTGCGCGCGAGAGTGACGGACTCGTGGAGAAGGGCAACACTTGCATCGCCGCCCTTCATTCTGCGTTGCCGCCTTTACCGGCGGATGCTCGGGAGGGGATCGGCCCTTCGGTCAACCTTCCCCTCGCGCGCCGCGTTGCAATGCAGCGTGGGGGACCACGTGCGCTTTGATTCTTCTCGCTGAAGGACATCGCAACAAAACGAAAGCAACGCCCCCCCCTTTCTTACTCGTGACGCGGCAATGCCAGGCGGCCGAAACCATATCATTATTTGCTCTCCGCCGCGTGGCAGCTCAGCGGGCGTCGCAATCTCCTGTTCTATGATACTTGTGACGTGGCAGTTGTTGTGTGTGTGTGTGTGTGTGTGTGGATGTGTGCGTGTGTGTGTGTGGGGGGCAAAGCTTGATGGGGCGAGTCGATGCTATTCGATGTTGTTCTGCACGTGGCAACGTAGCAGGGTGGGATAATCCAATCCGGCCCTTATGCGCCAAGTGGCTGCACCTTGGGGCGGAGAAGCGTTACCAATCCATTGGAACTCATTTCAGGGGAACGCCTGGGAACGAAACGTGTCGTATTCGATTATGCTCGCTATGTGGCAACTCAGCGGGGCACCGACAGTTTTTCTCTTCAGTTTGTTCGTCACGTGGCAGCGCTTGGAGCATGATAAAAAACAGTTTCATGTCGTCCGCTGCGTGGCAGCACCGTGCGGGGGGGGGGGGACAAGACAAATTACAAATCCAGTCCCAGGGGGAGCGGAGCGAACTAGTAAACGCCTTTTGCTACGCTGCAACGAAGGGGGGAGGAACACATTTGAGTGCGCACGCCATGTGGCTCGCCCCGTGGCAGCGCAGCGGGGCGAGTAAACTTGGATTTGCAAGGCAACCTTTTACGTAACAGCGCCAGGGAACGGACAAAACAACCAGTCCATTATTCGTCATGCGGCAAGGCCTCATGGGGACTGCGGCCAGTGGTCGGCAGCCTGAAATGGCGGCTGGCGGCGGGCGGCTGACGACGACTTGCAGACCCAGCATCAAGTGGCACAGTTTGGCACGCCTCTCACACAGATCGCGGTTCGGCGTCCAACAATAAGTTGTTTGAACACTCAGCCGGCGGCTGACGCCCAGGCGTGAAGCTGGCGTCCATGAGCCAGCTTTCGCCCATCACTCCTGCGGATCGCGCAGTGGGGGGCAAAACTTATTTTTATGTCAAGCAATGGCGAGGTGTCTTGGTTTGCCTACGGGCCGACCAAATAATGTGTTTGCAGATTTGTTTGACGTTCTCGCGAGATGTTCCTAGAGCGTTTTTGGCTAAGACCGTCTTGTTTCAATCCACCGGCTTGACGTTATAAGACCACTGATTGTTGTTTGCTGTGCCGTTTTTCGATTCTAAGAACATGTCGTTGTAGGCTCATAGGAATGCCAGCACGGTCGGTCCCTGCTCAGTTATTGCACCACCAGAACGATCTTGAACCCTTTCTACAATGTTTCTTGATGTTTCGGTTAACCATATGAATCCCCCATCCTTTCCCGTTGACCTCCCGGGGCGAGTGGGGCAGTGGTGCTCGAGCGGCCAAGGTTCGCAAGATCCTCTACACGCTCTTGGTTGGCCTCAAGTACCTCCACTCGGGAGGCGGGCATCCTGTCATCCCCCACTCCGCACGGGCCTACCTCGTTGGGCAGAGCGGAGCTCGGGCTCAGGCGTTATAGCCTCAGTCGGCTAGACATCCCTCCCCTGCAGGGTGTTTTGATTGGGCCCGGCTCTACAGACGCACGTGTGTCCGCCAGCGTCGCGGACCAAGAAGTTTCGATGGGCCCTCCTTGGGCCATGATCTAGGCCTCCTAGATGGGGTCGGAGTAGATGGGGTCGGAGGATCGCTCCGCATCGCCGATGCAACGGCGATGCGGCTCGATGTGGGGCCCGATTTTCTCCACTTTGACGTCGCCGACGCCTCGCCGACGTCGCCGATGCATCATCGATGCATCGTCGATGCATCGGTGATGCATCGGTGAAGCGGCGCGATCCTCCGTCCCCGTCTACTTGGACCTCATCCGGGATGCCTTTAGTCTCTCCCGCCCCTTCCTTCTTCCTCCATCTCGTCCAACTCGACCTCCGAATTATCCTTTCCATCCTCCTCCTACTCCTCATCCCCCCATATCTTCTACTCCTCTTCCTCCTCCTCCCTATATCCCTCCGTTCCCATCTAGGAGGCCTCTGCATGATGGGGATGTGCAGGCGGGGGGCCACCGTGCCGGCGCAGCATCGGGATCCGTGCAGTCCGTGCAGAGTGTAGTACTTGCGCACGGGCGTGCAGCTCCGGCAGCGGTTCCGGGGCAAGCTCCTGTTGCGCGCTTGCGCACTGCAGCATACATGTGTTTTTCAGTTCAACTCGACAGAGCTGGTGGCGCAATCCCACTTCCCAGTTGACATGCCCAAGCGGTTCCTCTGTTTCGTTTGTGCAGCGGGCCTAGTGCAATTGGGTCTCTCCAAGTCGTCTCCTTGTCCGCCCAGTTCCCTTGGGAATACACCCCGATCTTCGAGTCACTCCCTCGATTAACGCACTGAAGTAGCAAAGCAAAACGCTGCAATGGAATGCAAAGCCATGCACCGCGATGACAAGCAACACAACACGCAGTACTTACAAGCGATATCGCGCAGCATGCATCACACAACGCAAAGGAATGCGTTGCACATCGATTGACCAGAAGGTCATCACATAATCCCAGTTCAAAGCAGCAAAGGACAGGACATTGCAATGTAAACACGCTGCACATCACATCAATGTCAACCACATGAAGACAACGCGTACTCGAGCCATATCAAAACAGTACCCACGTGCCAACACAGTGTAGAGCACAGGACATGCACGAACGCAATGCAGTGCACATCATGTCGCATCAAATAATAGCAAATGAAGCTAACTCAAAACAGTGAAGCAAAGCAGTCCTAACATTCAATTATTGCAATGCGCTGCGCTTTGAGGAACCACACTGCACTGCACATGGAACTAGTCCACGCAACGCAAGGCATCGCCGTAGCATGTTTCGGCGGGTTGACGTTGAGCTCATCCGGGCTCTGGCGCGTTCGAAGAGTTAGCCTGTGTGCAGCCTGGTGTCTGATCTTGGATCAGCTGGGGCTGCGCCGGCCTCACTCCTGCACGCCTCCCGGCACGGCGGCCCCGAGCGGTCGACCACGCACACACGAGCGGGGGCCACGAGAGGGCGACCCTCCGCGTGCCTCTGGATGGTTCCCGGCGCGCTCCAGCGCTCGCACGGGCCATCAGGGACCCACCCGGCCCTTTCTTGAGCCTCTCTCCATGCTCGAGGCCACGAGGAGGCAGCAAGGGGGGCGGCTGGCCACGAGGGCCGCCGGGATCGACGCGCGGCGCCCGCCGCACACGAGGGCCAGGAGGAGACAAAACATTTTTTTTTTTTACAGACACGCCCAGAGCCCCGCGGCAGAGGAAGAGGAGGGGAGGGGGGGGAGGGAGGGAGGGAGGACGAGGGAGGGTTTTTTCAAAAGGAGGAGACAAAACACACACGGGCACGATAGACCGTCGACTCCCCAGAACATGTGGGAAAACGTGGGCCGTCGGGGGGAGGGCAGACACCCAGAAGACATGGCAAAACATGGGGCATCCCTTTATCTGTGTGTGTGTGTTTATTTGTGTGTCCCAGGGCCCCTTCAGAGGGTCACGATGGGGGCTATGCGACGGGACAGACGCCCATAGCCACTGAGCCACTGAGAAGCAGCTCCTGAGCTTCAGCACGCATATGCGCCAGCCTCGAGGGCACGAGGGGGCCACGTCTGGCCACGGGGAGGAATACGAGCATCCGGGAGCCACGGAGTCGTTCTTGAGTTCCACCTTGCGCCCGAGTGGGCACCAGCGAGCTGCGAGGGGCTGGAGAGGCTGATACAGTCAAAAACCCTAGTAAGGAACGCGCGACTTTGCTCAGGGTACCCTTGCGTCCTTGCTCTTCCTTGCTCTTGCGTCCTTGAGGTTTTCGTCGTTCGCCGCCCCAAAATCCCAACTTCGGCTTCCAAGGGTCTTGCGTCCTACCGCGCGTCCTTATTAGGGTTTTTGACTGTACGAGCATCCAGAGGAGCCACCGAGCCGTTCTTGAGCTCCACCTCCTGGCATCGCTCGGACGTGTGCATATTTTTTTCTCGGCGAGGACCATCGAGGACCATCCTGGACCATCGAGCAAACATGCACGGGAAATGGACGTCCGAGCGATGGCAAGAGACCCTGCGCACGAGTGGGCACCAGCGAGCTGCGAGGGGCTGGAGAGGCTTCTAGTGGGCCCTGGAAACGACAGGACCGTTTTTCTTACCAGTTCCGTTTGCCGCTTGTTTTCCGGTCCGACGCCGATTTTGTATCGGTTCCGTCGCCGTTTTTTTTCTTCCGGCTCCGGCTCCGGTTCCAATCCTGGAGCCGAGCCGTTTTTGTTGCCGTTTTCGGTTGCTTTTTTTTTGCCGCTTCCGTTTTCAAGAGACGCCTTTCTGGAAACGATGACCGAGCCATTTTTGTTGCAGTTTCCGGTTGCCGTTTTTGTTTGCCGCTTCCGTTTTCAAGAGACGCTTTCCTGGAAACGATGAGCAAGGGGCCCTGCCTTCTCCGGGGCCCACTAAAGGCTGGAGGGCCACGGGAAGCGAGCAGCCGGGTCGGACCTTGGGCACAACCTGACACACTGGGGGGGCCGCCAGAGGGCAACAGGCGGTGAGCCACCGACTGGGCGGTGGAGTCCCCCGCACAAGCAGGGCGGCGACGTGACCGCCATAGTCGACCCCTGTTCCAGCACCAGGGGCTGTCAGCCGCCGACTCGGCTCTTGAGCCCCACCTCATACAGTTTACCAGTTTGAAACATATCCCTATCCCTACGTTTGACATCACCTCACCTCGATGCCGATCTTAAGGATTCCCTCTCATTTTCTGAGGGCATATCTCTAAGATTGCCCTCGCTTTTTGCTCGCCCATCTTTGGGATAGGGATGATAGGGATAAGTTCGAGGCTGGTTAACAGTGGGGGCCCATGCCAAGAAATATCCGGCTTGCCTCCAGGGTGCCCCGGGTTTCTTGGGTTTCGATTGCGGTGGTTTTGCGATGGAAGGCGTGACGCTCCTGCACCAAGAGTCGATGCACGTCCTGGGGTCTCAAGGTTGGGTGTCTTGTGGAAGGTCTCTTATGGTCGGGCCGCTACTGTTAAGTCGGGCATTTCCCTCTACAGGAGGAATATTAAGACATAGTTTAAACATAGTCTGGGGACGATGTCTCGATTATTTTTGATTATGCTTGAGAGTGTTGAGTGTTTGAGTATCTTTTCTTTTTCGCTCAAAACCCGCCCGTAGGAGGACATGCCTGACCTAACCCTGCTGTGCACAGATGAGCCACGAGAGGTGGCCCTTTTGGCCACGAGCCACCGTGCACGAGGGAGCACTGCACCGCGCACGAGGGAGCCTCGAGGCACCACGATTGTCGCAGGCCTGGAGGTTGACACCAACACCAATATCGGCGTTGTGCCTCCGCCGAGGGAAGAAGATCTCGATCTCGGTGATGGTGGTAACATTCTGGCTCCCAGGGGGACCGAACTGCTGCCACCAGCACCGAAATCTGGGATCGCCTTCCGCCTGTGGGGGGGCAACCCCCTGTGTTGGTGTTGGTGCCCATTTCCAGGCCTCCAAGATGTGGGGTTCCTTGAGGTCCCGACCCTTTGCCCAGGGTCTGTTTTTTTGAGGGAGTTTCTGTGGAACTCACGTCATCCTCACCCCCGGCGCGAAGAGCACGAGCCCAGAGCGGCCTCCGGCACCGTTTCCGGACAGATCCGGTGGATCCGGTGACGAATCCCAAACCGCGCCCTCGCTTGAGACATCTCACAAAACCGGCCCCGGGGAGGGGCCCAGAGGAGCCCAGAGCGGCCCTCCGGCACCGTTTTTCCGGTGGATCCGGGTGGATCCGGTGACGAATCCCAAACCGGCGCCCTCGCTTGAGACATCCTCACAAAACCGGCCCCGGGGGAGGTGCCCAGAGGGGCCCAGAGCGGCCTCCGGCACCGTTTCCGGACAGATCCGCTGGATCCGGTGACGAATCCCAAACCGGCGCCCTCGCTTGAGACATCCTCACAAAACCGGCCCCGGGGGAGGTGCCCAGAGGAGCCCAGAGCGGCCTCCGGCACCGTTTCCGGACAGATCCGGTGGATCCGCGCCGACGAATCCCAAACCGGCGCCCTCGCTTGAGACATCCTCACAAAACCGGCCCCGGGGGAGGTGCCCAGAGGAGCCCAGAGCGGCCTCCGGCACCGTTTCCGGACAGATCCGGTGGATCCGGTGACGAATCCCAAACCGGCGCCCTCGCTTGAGACATCCTCACAAAACCGGCCCCGGGGGAGGTGCCCAGAGGAGCCCAGAGCGGCCTCCGGCACCGTTTCCGGACAGATCCGGTGGATCCGCCGACGAATCCCAAACCGCGCCCTCGCTTGAGACATCCTCACAAAACCGGCCCCGGGGGAGGTGCCCAGAGGAGCCCAGAGCGGCCTCCGGCACCGTTTCCGGACAGATCCGGTGGATCCGGTGACGAATCCCAAACCGGCGCCCTCGCTTGAGACATCCTCACAAAACCGGCCCCGGGGGAGGTGCCCAGAGGAGCCCAGAGCGGCCTCCGGCACCGTTTCCGGACAGATCCGGTGGATCCGGTGACGAATCCCAAACCGGCGCCCTCGCTTGAGACATCCTCACAAAACCGGCCCCGGGGGAGGTGCCCAGAGGAGCCCAGAGCGGCCTCCGGCACCGTTTCCGGACAGATCCCGATCCGGTGGATCCGACGAATCCCAAACCGGCGCCCTCGCTTGAGACATCCTCACAAAACCGGCCCCGGGGGAGGTGCCCAGAGGAGCCCAGAGCGGCCTCCGGCACCGTTTCCGGACAGATCCGGTGGATCCGGTGACGAATCCCAAACCGCGCCCTCGCTTGAGACATCCTCACAAAACCGGCCCCGGGGGAGGTGCCCAGAGGAGCCCAGAGCGCCTCCGGCACCGGACAGATCCGTGGATCCGGTCACGAATCCCAAACCGGCGCCCTCGCTTGAGACATCCTCAAAACCGGCCCAGAGCCGCGGCCTCCGGCACCGTGTTCCGGACAGATCCGGATCGGATCCGCTGGATCCGGTGACGAATCCCAAACCGGCGCCCTCGCTTGAGACATCCTCACAAAACCGGCCCCGGGGGAGGTGCCCAGAGGAGCCCAGAGCGGCCTCCGGCACCGTTTCCGGACAGATCCGGTGGATCCGCTGGATCCGCTGGATCCGGTGACGAATCCCAAACCGGCGCCCTCGCTTGAGACATCCTCACAAAACCGGCCCCGGGGGAGGTGCCCAGAGGAGCCCAGAGCGGCCTCCGGCACCGTTTCCGGACAGATCCGGTGGATCCGGTGACGAATCCCAAACCGGCGCCCTCGCTTGAGACATCCTCACAAAACCGGCCCCGGGGGAGGTGCCCAGAGGAGCCCAGAGCGGCCTCCGGCACCGTTTCCGGACAGATCCGGTGGATCCGGTGACGAATCCCAAACCGGCGCCCTCGCTTGAGACATCCTCACAAAACCGGCCCCGGGGGAGGTGCCCAGAGGAGCCCAGAGCGGCCTCCGGCACGTTTCCGGACAGATCCGCTGGATTCGGTGGATCCGCTGGATCCGGTGACGAATCCCAAACCGGCGCCCTCGCTTGAGACATCCTCACAAAACCGGCCCCGGGGGAGGTGCCCAGAGGAGCCCAGAGCGGCCTCCAGCACCGTTTCCGGACAGATCCGGCTGGATCCGCTGGATCCGGTGACGAATCCCAAACCGGCGCCCTCGCTTGAGACATCCTCACAAAACCGGCCCCGGGGGAGGTGCCCAGAGGAGCCCAGAGCGGCCTCCGGCACCGTTTCCGGACAGATCCGGTGGATCCGCTGGATCCGGTGACGAATCCCAAACCGGCGCCCTCGCTTGAGACATCCTCACAAAACCGGCCCCGGGGGAGGTGCCCAGAGGAGCCCAGAGCGGCCTCCGGCACCGTTTCCGGACAGATCCGGACAGATCCGGTGGATCCGCGCCCCGGGGGAGGTGCCCAGAGGAGGAATGAGGAGGAGGAGGAGGAGGAGGAGGAGGAGGAGG